CCCCCCCCGGCTGTTGATTTCACATGCAGTGCATGACCTGGCCTCTGACAGATGCAGAGCTTCCTTATTAACTTCCTGTTTTTAGGGCAGTTGCATTCTGCTTTGTTAGGATTGTTTTTATATTTTTAAAGAAAATTGGCTGAGATCAGTGAATTCCTAAATCATGGATTTTTATTGAGAAGATTTTACCCACTCCCACCCCCAAAAAATCCTCTCAGCTACGCTCTGCGTTCTCTCATCGTGTCCTTTCGTTAGATGGTTTTATTTTGATGTGGAGTCCAAGTTGCAAAATGTTGCTGAGAGGGTTTCCTGCCAGTAACGTTGATCAGAGTGTGTGTAGAGAGGCAGACTTCCTGATAGTTTGAGGGAAGGAAGAATATGGGACGGGGAGAAGACAGGAGAGTTTGGGAAGCAGACGGAACGATCTGATCATTTTTCTGGAGAGAGGATTGCCTCTTCTTTCTGGGACATCCACCCTGGCCACAATATTTAGAAACAGAGATAAAAAAACAGATGCTTTTTCCTCTCCATCTTTAACCCCAAGAGAAGTGACAGATGGTTATTTATTCCTGTGAACGCAGATTCTGGAAGAAGTGCAGTGTGGTCACTGCCGCTAGCTGTCTGTGGGGTTTTGGAGGTTTTCCTTTTTTTTTCTCCTGCTTCTTGGATCCTCCTCTGTGTAGGCTGAAGAATTATAGGGGAGGTGGAGGTGTGGTGAGACTCCCCCCCTTGGATTCTGCATATTTTGAGGGCGCACCATGTAAGCAAGCCCTGCCTCCCATGTTCTTGGCAAAAGGGAGTGGGGTGTGATCTCCAGAAACCCACACATGGTTTGGGGACCAGAGGTGGATCAGGCAGATGCTCCACTTACTACCCTCCTGTTCACAATTGATCATTGCGTTTTTAAGATAAGCAGCGTCACTGAATAGTGTTCCATGAGCAACCAGCATATGGATTTTTGAAAACATCTGTATGGATTCCTGTTCCTACTGAGTATAGAATCAAGAAGCACTTGGTGGCTGAAATTCTTTTGTGTGTGTGTGTGTGCCAGCTACCAGACCTTTGCTTCCTTCGAGGACTGAAGGTGGCCATTCTAGCTCCCTTATTGTCATCCTCACCCATCTCCTTTAACAACACATCACAGGAGCCATGTGCTTAAGCCAGTTTGCCCCACTTCTCCAGAAACTGTCACTGGGGTGGGGGGCAAGGGTCTGGCTGAGTTTGTGTGCCTGTGGTTTTTTTTGCGCAGTTCAGATACGATGTTTGCCAGTTTGGGGTGAAGGTTTGAATCATGTCCCCCAGCTTCTCTTGCTCATCTAACATCCTCTGTGAAACTGTTCTTTTATGTTTTGTAAAAAAAAAATGATGTGCTTAAGTAGGTTTGTACAGTTTTAGCCTTTTCCAAAAAAAGAAAAAAAAAGAAAGAAAAACATTTAATATTTCCTAGTGACGTGCAGACATAAAAGATTGATCTACAGAACTGTGGAGTTGTATTTTGTATTCATTTCAAGGATCATTGCTTTCACACTCAGCAAAGATGGGTGTTGTGTCTTGGATTTCATGAGTGAACACTGCATATACCGCGCTTTCCAGGCGTGGGAAAGCAGAAACCAGCCAAGGTGCAAATCCGTCCCTCCCCATCCTCATCCCCAACCCAGAAACCTGTTAACCAGAGATCTGGAATAACCCTCCAGAGCTGAGGAGGAAAAGGCCACATAAAGCACAACACATCCAACCGGTGTCCTCTCAAGCTGGAGTAGCGGTTGAATAGGGTCCCCAAGGAGCTAATGCAAGGAGAAGACGTTGTAGCCATGTGAAATGAGCTTTGTAGAGTTTTACGTCTTTTCCCTTGCTGGAAACGTGGATTTTATCAACTGAACCTAAAAGGAAGAAAAGGGGGGGGGGGGAGAAAGCAGATTGTAATTGCTCTCAGTGGAAAAGGACAAGACCAGAGACCTACCAACCTGTACCAGATGGGGGTCACCCACCTCTCTTTCTCCTGCCTGGCCCTACCTTGCAGGGTTCATGTGAGGATTGCTTGGGAGGGAAAATGAGGGATCCTCGAGGAAAAGCAAGAGAGAAATGATGAGTATCCATTGAATGAATGAATAAATATTTGTTATTGGCAATTGCATACCCTTTTTTTTTAGCATGGGAATAAGGAAAACCAGACAGTATTTCCAGACTCCCATGAACCTCACCGAATTTTCAGTGTAATAAACAAAAAATACTGTTTTCTCTCAGTGGAGAAGAACGTATTTCGTTTTTTAACCTGAAATGAAGGTTCTTGGTGGGTCTTAACTCTATTGCACAGGGGAGAAAGGGGCGTGGCTCTGGAGGGAGGGGCGGTGCTTCCGAGTGGGATCTCAAGCCTCCGGCTCTCCGCGGCTAACTTTGCCGTCCAAACTTTTTGATTGGCGGAGCAGCTTCACTCGTCGAGGGCACGCCGGCGAATCGGAACGTCGCACCTACTCTTGGCTCCGATTGGTTCCCTTCCCGTCCCGTTCTCCCGCCTCCGCCCTCTTTAACTTTTCATTGGCGCGGCCGCTTCGTCCGTCCAAAAGGGCGCCGGGGAATTAAATAAAAAAAAGGAAAGGAAGGAGGCGTGGCTCGACCCGGCCCGCAGTCGGAGAGGGGGCGCGGCCTGCGCTGTGTGAGCGGGGCCGAACCCTCGTTGGCGGGTGGGAGTGAGGAAAAAAATAAAAAATAAACCAGGCGCGTGGGCGTGGCTGGGAGGGAGGGAAAGGAAGAAGGCGTGGCCAGCCACCCGAGGTGGGGATAGGCGGAAAGGGGAGCCCCCCAGGGGGCGTGGCCGAGGAAGAGGAGGAGGGTTCCCCGCCTTTTTTTTGAGGCGCTCTCCTTCCGGCGCATGCGCAGTCGTGAGTTGGCGCCTCTTTTTTTGGTTCCCCCCTTCCCCCACTCCCGCCGCCGCCCTCCTGCCAGCGGCCACCTGAGGCGGCCTCGTCGGACCCCCCCTCCCTCGCCCCGTGAGGAAGAGGAAGAAGAGGAAGACTCCTCGGAGGTAAGGAGGGAGACAGAGAAAGAGAGAGAGAAGCTGAGGTAAAATCAGAAAAAAAGGGTTTTGTGGAGGGGCTGAGGAATTAGTTTTGGAAAAATTCACAGAGCTGGTTCTTTCAGTCTAAAACTGAAAGCAACGAGGGAAAGAAGTAAACAAATGGATCAGATTTGTCTATTTTCCCAAGACGTTGTTATTGCAATCGGGGAGAGAAGCTCCTCCTTTTCTCCCCCCCCGCCTTGAGGAGACCTTGGAGGGGTGTGGGGGATGTTTTGGAAACGGGGGGGCTCCTGTCTTGAGTCGTTTGGAGCGCCTCCCTAATATGGGTTTGGACAGGGTATTCATCATTTCATTACCATTTTTATTAACCATCGTTATCATTTTCATTACTTTATTATCCATAGATTATTGTTGCTATTCATCGTCATCATTATTTTCATCATTATTAATCCTTTTCATTATTGTTACAAACATCAACATCATTATTTTCACGGTCATTACAGGTATTGTTATAGTTAATTGTCATTGTTATTATTATTATCAGTAATAATAATGTATGCACAGACTCCCCCTTCTACAACTATCATTAGTACAGTATCATTATTGTTGCTGTTATAATTGTTATTTACTAATTATTAGGAATGACAGCTGGGGGAAATAGTCATGATCCAAGGGCACTGACGTCACAACAAATGGAGACATTTCTGCTCTTGCTCTTGTTATTTTTCTTGGTGTTATGATAACTTTTATTAATAATAATATTGCTCTAAACCACACTGATTGCTGTTAATACTCTTGTCAAGTTTTTTAAATTAATAAGTGCAGTTTAGAGTAATATCAATAACAATAATGTGTATTATCATCATCGTCTTGGAACTGCAAAGTTGGAAGGGATTGTATAGATCCTGCAGAGCAGGAAGGGACCCCTAAAGATCATCCGGTCCAGCCCCTTTCAAGGAGACTCAGTGGGGAAATCGAACTCTTAGCCTCTGGCTGTGCAGGCAGAAACCTAAACCCCTGAGTTGTCAATCATAAGTAACAGTAATAATTTACAGCAATAGTATGGGTCACAGCTATGATAATGGCGTGTTACAACAACAGTAATAATCAATAGCAGTGATAATAAGCATGGGTTAGAGTAATAATAATGATGTTAATAATAATAGTCATGGTTCAAAGTGATATAAATGATAAGAAGTGGCAATAGGAATAATTGAAAATCAATAATAATGAATAATAATAACAATGATAATAAAGAACGTCAATAATAGTTATGTATAATAAATTTTGGTTTAGAATTAAATAATTGATAAAAAGTGGCAGTGAGTAAGTAATAAGAGTGCTTAGCAATAATAATACATAATAGCAGTTCAGAGTAATAATAATGAACTACAATAATAGCAATGTATGCATTGTAATAGGAATTGGCAATGATGTAACAGAACAGTGAAGGGGGAGAAGGAAAAGTTTGGGTGCTGGAGGTGTCCCCCAATGTGCATTTGAGGGAGGTGTATTTATTTGCTAAAAATAGCAACAGTCAAAAGAAATAGTTGTAATGAATGTACATTGATGAAGCATTATGGAAGAAAATAACAACAACAACAATAATATTGATTTATTTACGTATTTTATTGCAATTTATATGCTGCCTCTCTTCCAGTGAAGGGACCTCATAATGATGATGATGATGATGATGTGATAGAGAAAAAGTGCATTTGGAGATATTTTAAGTAGTAATGGTGGTGTGCTTTGGGGGTGGTTTTTGAATGATATTGGTAGCTAGAGAAGAGAGAATACAGTATTTTAATGATAACAGCAGTTGCACAATGACAGAGTGCAAGGGGGAAGGTGTTTTTAAAAGTTGATCGTGTTTGTTGGCCTTGGTTTTGTAACAATGATGGTAGGATTTTATTTTAGTGGGGGCATTCTGGCTTTAATATTTAATGTTACTGCTACTACATAATTGTAATAAAACAATAATCATTTCATATTAATATTTAATATTAATGTTACTTTAATTATTTCAATGTAATGGTCGTAAAATAACAACAACAGCAAATTGTGGTGGTATTTTAAAGTAGTCACGGCCATAGTAATAATACACGTTAATTATGAATAATGCATAATAAGCCTTCAACTGTTATTAACAATTGGATTTAATCCGGTATGCATATACTACCCTTCCACATCACTTATTTGTTTATTTCTTAAACCTTTCCTTGCCTCCTCCCTGTTTTTAGCTTCACAACAACCCTGTGATGTATGTATTTTTCTAGTTTACAAGTGGCTGAGAGCTCACCCAGTGGGGCGGGGCCTTCTGAGAAAGGGGTGTGGCTTATGGGGACATGGGTTGGATCCTGTTAACCCAAAAAACAATTGAAATACAGGTACAGTACTTGAAAATCTAACCAGGCTCCTTGCTATTAGTTTCTAACCCATAAATCAGGCTGACTTCCGAGGTGTTCCATGTGATTATGTTGGCAATTGGTAAAAAACAGCAGGGTTGGGACTTCAATATTTCTCTCCATAATCTTTACTGGTCTTTCACCGCAATAAAGTATTCATTCATTCACTCTCCATAAGCACGTCTTTGGAGGCAATTGTGTGATCCGTATGAATGCAATTGCTGGTTTGATTAGAAAGACCGAATGGTGGGACGGAAGAAAAATTTGAGATATAAATTTCAAAATGTTGGAAGCAATTGCTATGTCAGCAGGAAGCAGTTTTCAGTTTTGAACTGCCCTGCTGGTTGGAAGGCTCTGGGAAGCTGTGATCCCAGAGAGGAACATTTTTGGAAGTCTGGGACAGGATGTTCCATGAAGGAAGAAGCCCCACTGCAAAAGAGTTGGGTTGTGGGCTGGAGCAGGAAGGAGCAAAATAAAGAATAAAGCCAAGGCAAAAGTGAACCAGAAATGTCTTGGAGGAGGTGGGTGCATGTAGGAACTTGTTCTGGGCAAAAACTAGAAGCAATTTACAGGTGGAAGAGTATTTGTCAGGAGGAGAACTATCTCAGTCCATTGTTTTTGTTGTTTAGTCGTTAAGTTGTGTCCGACTCTTCGGGACCCCATGGACCAGAGCCCACCAGGCCCGCCTGTCTTCCACTGCCTCCTGGAGTTGGATCAAATTAATATCGGTTGCTTCGATGACATTGTCCAACCATCTTGTCCTCTGTTGTCCCCTTCTCCTCTTGCCTTCGCTCTTTCCCAACAACAAGATCTTTTCCAAGGAGTCTTTTCTCATGAGATGGCCAAAGTATTGGAACCTAAGCTTCAGGATCTGTCCTTCCACTGAGCACTCAGGGTTGATTTCCTTCAGAACGGATAGGTTTGTTCACCTTGCAGTCCAGGGGACTTTCGAGAGCCTCCTCCAGCACCACAATTCAAAAGCATCAATTCTTCCGCTGTTAGCCTTCTTTATGGTCCAGCTCTCACTTTGATACATCGCTACTGTATAGGAAAAACCATAGCTTTGACTATGTGAACCTTTGTCAGCAAAGTGATGTCTCTGCTTTTGAAGATGCTGTCTGGGTTTATCATCGCTTTCCTCCCAAGAAGCAGGCATCTTTTGTGGCTGCTGTCACCATCTGCGGTGATCGTGGAGCCCAAGAAAGTAAAGTCTGTCACTGCCTCCATATCTTCCCCTTCTATTTGCCAGGAGGTGATGGGACCAGTAGCCATGATCTTGGGTTTTTGTTTTTTGTTTTGATGTTGAGCTTCAGACCACTTTTTGCACTCTCCTCTCACCCTTATTATGAGGTTCTTTAATTCCTTCTCACTTCCTGCCATCAGAGTGGTATCATCTGCATATCTGAAGTTGTTGTATTTCAGAGTAGCAACAATCATTGTGGCCCCCCTCCCCGCAGCCACTATCCCCTCAAAGGAGAGTCCCCTAAACGTGAGGTTTTGGCCCAACAAACCTGCATCAGGCATTATCCTCCGTGAGGAGCAAGTCTTTTGCAAAGCTAACGGCTCTCGAATGCCTACTCGTGACCAAACCACCTTAAAATACTTTGCCTCTTAGTTCCATCACCCCAGCTGAAACCCGAGTCATTGGTCTCCACTGGAACTGGGAATATATGTCTCCCCCGACTTCTTTCCTGTTTTAATGGACAAGATGACCACTGTTTTCAACTCCTTGCGCATTCAAAGAAGGTGAATTGGTGGCAGCTTTCTGTGTGTTCACTTCCAACCTTCTTTTCCTTTTCTCTTACAGTAGGACCCCTGTATCCACAAGAAATCCATTCAGAACCCCCCACCAAATGCTGACAATGGAGGATAATAGCAAACACAATTTTGATAGTGAATGCTACATATAATTCTGGTAACGTCATTGTTAGAAATATATATTTATGGGATTTTTCTTTTAACATTTTAAATATCTTCAGATTGTGGATAAGTGAATCAGCGGATATTGAACATGTGGATAAGGGGGTTCCACTGTACAATAAGCGTGAGGGTTCACATTGAAGTGTGCATTTAAATAAGCCTTTTAAAGCATGCACAGGTGGAACACTTGTATTCTCTGCCTCTCAGCCTGACCTACCTGTACAGGGTCGTTGTGAGCATGCAGAAAGGACAAGCAGAGCTGCATATACCTCGCAAGGAATGTGTTCCTCTCCAGGCAATAACCACAAACCTCCACTTAATGCCTTTGCAAACACATGGATTTATTTTGTTTTGATACCTTTCCCCCTTTGTGGATGGCTTGGTGAGAATCCAACTCCCCCAAGTTCAGTAGCACTTCCGGTGGACAATATATGGCCCGTGTTCCTGATATTGCTCTTTCCGGATCCAGCAGGGTTGAAAGTTATTCAGAGACGCGAGGATGGATCCCCCAGTCCAGACGGAGTATTTCCGGAGCGGCACGGCTGTGACGTTTACTTTCGTGTTGGAGGGCAGGCTGGCCAAGAGGTCGTGGGTGAACCTCTTCTCGAACCCTTCAAACCCAGAAGAGCCTCCGCACAGAAGGATGTTTTCATACATCTCTTTCCGGCAGGTTTCTGGCACCTTCTGCAAGCTTTTTAGGGCCATGCCGGGGACTCCGAAGACAGAAAGCCCTGGCATCTGCGGAGGATGGAATAACATTTCCGGGCACTGGAATCTCTCCTTTCCCAATTGAATGGTCTGGCCGTCCGGCAGCTGGTAGTCCATCATGTATTCTTTCTTGGGACGGTTCCACTCCGCCTTGAAATCAAGGGCCACATAGCAGCACTTCTTCTTGATGTCATCCACAATGGCAAGCATT